ACAATGATCTTTCTTTCTTAAGACTCGTCTCCAATACTTGAAAGTGATGAAGACGGAAGTCTATGTCGAAATGAAATTCTATGAGTCACAGTTGCACTTTACAGATGCGCGCGCCTCAAAAATGAAGGATGGAGCTTTCTCAGGCATTGGTCAAGATAAGGTATGATTAATTCTACCATAACATTCAGAAATCTTCAAGGAATGGAATCTTTTGAAATTTCTTTTGCATGATGTTCTGCGAACATTATGACATGTACGTAAGTTTTCGGTTTATGCCGCTCAGGTTTAATTCAAATGCAGCCCTATATGGCGAAAATCAATTGAAGGGGAACCAAGAGAAACCCTGTCCGCTAGTCCTCAATTTGACCTTGCCATTGTGCACATTTCCGAGAATCTCGCTGCAGGCTGAGTAAACATTCATGGATGAATGACATAATGTCCCTGCGGGCATGTATACTCCTTATCTTCTAATCCATCTCCGAACCCTTTGCTATCGGAAACATATCGCAAGCCACATTGCTCAACATAGGGTACATATATAGTGAGGATCAGAAATATTGAGACAACAAGAACGGTTGGTATTCAGTAAAAACCTTATGAAGTCCTGAACGACGTAATCCCTATGGAAAAACGTCAAGGTACAAACTGTCAAAATTGTTGGAACATTTGCCATGATGAGATATTGAATTCTTGTGGAATTTACAACTTTTTAACCAGATAAATGTCGAACTCACCTCCATTGGAAATGACCTTGTTGTTGTGGTACCATATGACGTTGGGAGGTGGTTTAGCCAGCTGAAAATAGAAATTAAAACATCTGATGACACATAAGAATAATTTGAGATGACACATAAAAGCAGATTTGAGTAGGGGGCGTAACTTACGGTTATACATTGGAAAACTGCAGGTTGACCTTTTGACACCAATCTATCTATTGGTTGAGCTTCGAATCTTAATAATAAGCAGATTGATGATTTAGGTTTAAGACTGCGTTAGCTTTACAACTTCATAGGTGAACTATCTTCTCAAAAAATTCTTACTTGGGAAGATCCGGTAACCCGATTAGAGCTTTTCTACTCATATATGTCCATGTAAAACCATCATTCGAAGTGACGTGAACAACACATACATAGGAACCAGTATCGTTGGGGATTACATCATGTATAGATAATGATCCGTTCGAGAAAAGTTGCCTATAATGGCAACTACTATTACAAACACTGTTGTAAAGATCCGCTAGACACTGATAACTTTACTTTTATGAAAGTATGGAACACTGATGCCCCAATCAAAATATAATTCTGTTGTTAAAAAGATGTTTAAACACTATATTTAACGCATTGAAACACCAGTTCGAAGAACACGAAACGCCAAATTACACTCACATCATTTTCTCATTCTATAAATCACGTTTAAAACAATATTTTTCAGAAACAAACAAAGTGACGCAATTAAATAAGATTGCTTAAAGTTACTGAACAATCGGAATTGGCAAATGTAGCATAGCTTTTGAGTAGAATGCTGCAAAAGGGGAGAAGAACCTTGTTGTGAACTCAGTATGTTTCAGTAATGTTCTTAAAACCATTTCAAACATTTTTTCTTGCACATTTCAATAGCTGCAGCAATGAAACTATTGTTGAACTCGGCGATTCAATCTCCCGACACAAAACGGGACTTCTTAGTAAATCTCTGCATGAACTAGTGCAACCCATAACGACTCGTAAATTGTTTACAGAATCTCAGTATAACGAAATCGGAAAATATTAAAAAATATTGTTTCCCTTCCAGACTCTTCCACTAGTGGCTGTGCCTCGACTGACACAATTACCAGACTGACGTCACGTACAGTCTGGTAGTTGAGCCTATTACGATCGAAGTACCGACAATGTCGTTGGAAAGTGGGAAAAGTAAACTATTCATCAATACAAAACTGACATCCTACTACTCGATTTGACATTGAGCGATGATCCATCCTTTTTCCACTCTAAGCGCACGTCTTTGATATTAGCTCTCTCAACTGTGTACTGACAATTCAGTAATATACGATTATCGGCGACGAGGGTACTTCTCGGCTGATCATCAAAATGGAAACTAATAAAACGGTCACCTGAAAATGAAAAATTGAACTTATTTACAGGAACCATTATGAGCCCTATCTTATTGGTTGCTTTACGCATGGAATTTGCGTCTTCGATCAAATGTCGCTGAGGGACTGGATGTGGGCCATTAGAGAGAGAAATCAGTTGCTCATCAGAGCGGACGCAATTAGGATGTGGCTAGGCGCATTATTGATGAGGAGGAAGCGACATTCCTAAGCCCAAATGATATTTGGTGAGCATTCAAAGAGCGGAATGAGCTAGTATATAAAATTATCTGAAAAACAATATGAAGAGAGTAACACTCTGATTAGGTGCTTCAATAATACGAAAAAATTCTAGGACACATTTGTTGTTAAAGATCAATGGGGTAAACGACAATGGAAAACAAAAGGCAAACCAATATAATGGCTTCAATATGACCTCCAGCCGGTTCATATGGTGGGGCCATTTATCTTACGGCGCTCT